TTGGCCATTGTGAAGACAGGGTGAGGGACTAGATTGGTCTGATCCAGATAGAGTTCTTCAATGCATTTATATCATGCCAAGCTAGCTGCTGCCCTATTCTTCTCCTGCCAGTAAACAACAGCAAGCCACCTGCCAGGAAGTGGCCCCACTCTGAGCCACTTCTGGATCCAGGCCTGCTTAGCTTCAGCAAGGCTGCTGCATCACGTGTCCTCAAGCCACGCCCTGGAGTTTTTGGAATGGTTAAAATTCTGTGTCTAGTGAGAGGCGTTAGATTGTTGCTATAAAATACCAGAGCAAAACAAACACAAAAAAGACCGCTCTCCACAGTCTTTCACATTGTTGCACAATGGTTAATTTAATGAGTAATCTGAGTTACGTTTTGAAGCCAGAATAGCAGTTCAGATAACAGAGGCAAGGGGAGATCTATTCAGCATGAAGAGCAAAAATACTTGAGCCTCCATTAATGAAGCCATTTCCTCAGTGGTGTTGGACTTGGCCCGACCCTGTTTCCTCAGGGCATCTCAGATAGCTATTGATTTCACTTATACATACATTAGAATGGCGGGATTGGGTCATATATCATTCTGTGTGAAAGGAAACACATTTCCCACCCCCCTTTGTGACTATGCACATGACCCCTTCTCTCAAGCGGCATGTGTTGATAAATCTAGCATCTTCTGGTGCCCTATTCATATTTTCCCAGTGGCATTCTTCCTGCCATCATGCCCCTAGGAAAAACAAAAACAGGTTCATTGTTCTGTCTGGGAATCCAATAAAAATGAACTCAAGCTGTCTTTGTTCTGCTCTATAATTTATTAGCTCTGGTTTTCGAAACTGTTGAATATGTGTGTGTATCTCTCTCCCCAAGCCCCTTGTATATATTTCCTGTCTACTGGCTCTTGGTGGTGCTGATGTATGGAGAAACGCTATAGCCTGCATTTCACAGACAAAGTTGATAGCGCGGAGCACAGTCTAATACAAATATGGCCATTCATGTATATAATAAATTAAGCAATCCTGACATGGATGTGATAAGATACAAATAGGTAACAGCAAGTGGTTATGTTTACTAGGACAGTTTCCCCCCCAAAGCATAATCAAGTAGCTGATTCTCATTCTGTGTCAGTCTCCCCTTTCCTCCCCATTTTATCGCTTTTTAGTCTTAAAATGTCTGCTTCTTATTGTTTCTTTACACGCTTAAAAAAACTCTCCCAAACTTTTTACAGACATATATTTATGTAGCATTGTCTATGCAAAGAACTCTCAGAGGTGGTTGGGGACTTAGCTTAGAAGGCTGGAATGTCTTCCCTTCTTCCCTTCTTTCTTTTTCTTTTTTTAAAAAAATATAAATTATGGAAAGCAACATAAGACCAAGACCCAGTGAGCTGTGGCAGTATAATCCAGCAGCGGATCAGGTGCCTACAGTAAAACAGCCTTTCTTGAAATTCTCTTTTTAAATGTAGACTTTCCCATATGCCTGTGGCTAGCACATGGATTTCAGCTATGATCTGCTCTAGGGTAATAGCATGGAAGGCTTAGTGTGAGGATGCACACAGTCTCCAAACTATTTTTATGGTATGTTATTTTCCATTTTACTGACTTTCACTAAGAAACCAGAGGCTTTCCTTTTGGGTATTGTCAGCCAAGGGGTGGCAAAGAAGGACCAAACATTTTTTATGTATGCAACAACAGCAGCAAGGATACTACTCGCAAAACATTGGAAAACTCAAGATCTACCCACACTGGAAGAATGGCAGATGCAACTGATAGACTATATGCAACTGGCTGAAATGACTGGCAGAATCCGTGACCTGGGAGAAGAGAGAATCGAGGAGGATTGGAAGAAATTTAAGAACTATCTACAAAAACATTGTGATTTGACTGAATGCTGAATAAGATGCTAGACTAAATAACTGAGCACCACTTAACTTAGAAGTTTTTAAGAAAATAAGAAAAACTGTGAAAGTTTAACTCTTTATGAGAACTATAAGATCATGAAATATCGAAGAGATATAAGAATTTAAATAAGATGATAAATTGCTGACAAAATGTTATAATGATGAAGGTGGGAGCGGGAGATGTGAGGAAGTCCAAAGAAAATGTGAAATTATGTTAAGACGAATGTTATATTGTTTATTACATTTATTCCTATTGTAAAATTCAATAAATTGCTTTAAAAAAAAAATATATTTTCCATTTTACTGATATAATACCTTTCATGAATTCACAAGGTAGTTCACCCAACACAATAACTACCACTAATACTGAATGCTACTTGCCCTACTTATTTATTTTAAGGATATCTGCTCCACCATTTGACCTTTAGTAATAATGCTAAGAATTAAGGGACATTCCCCTAGAATGAGCAGACCATTTTTCTCCCCATTACTGACTAACGACGGCAACCAGCACTATGATCAAATGGGGTGTTATGATTAGGGTGGCATAATTGACCTAATCTCCCCTGGGCCACAGGTTTCCTTTTCTCCACAGCAGGGCTGCTGCCATCATTACCCTGTGGGGTTGATAGTGTCCTGGAAGCAGTGCTGCTGTAGAGAAATTACACTTTACCTTTATTCACACCACTATCATGTGTTTGCTGGTAAACTCACAAGGAGCCCAACTAGATCAGTATTCTGTCTCCAAGCGGCCGACCAGGCCTTGCCTATGGAAGACCCAAGCAGTGTGTAATCGCCATAGTCTCCCCCCCCCCCACAAGACACTCACTGACACCAATATTGGAGGCACCATATAGATATTCATAGTAGCATGCCTAGTAGCCATTGATAATCTTACCCTTTAAGCCCCTCTAAGTGGTTGGCCATCACGTAATACCGAATTCCACAGTTTAATTATACACTCAATGAAGGAAAACATTCTTCCTTTTATCTTCTACCCTCCCACCATTCAACTTCTTTGGGCTCCCTACATTCTGTCCCCTGTGTTGAAAAGATTAGGACCTGTCTGCTTGGACTGTTAAAGCACAACACAGAATGATGACACTTTTATTAAATAAACAGGGTCGTGGGAACCTATTGGCTAGTGCCTCTGACATCACCATGACTGGAAACAAGTCTTGCCACATAACATTTTGCAGGATCCACCTCTTAAATAATATTTCAACTGCTCCCCCCCATTTTTTAGTTACACTTTAATTTTTTCAGGAGAGGGTTAAATGTGTGCCTACTGCCTTTTGTGGTTGGGTGCCTAGATTTCATAATAGAAGAGAACTAATAATAATAATAATAGGTAAAAAAAGGTAAAGGACCCCTGGACGGTTAAGTCCAGTCAAAGGCAACTATGGGGTTGTGGCACTCATCTCGCTTTCAGGCCAAGGGAGCTGGTATTTGTCCACAGACAGCTTTCTGGGTCATGTGGTCAGCAGGACTAAACCGCTTCTGGTGCAACAGAATGCAGTGACAGAAACCAGAGTGCACAGAAACACCGTTTACCTTCCCACCACAGCAGTATCTGTTTATCTATTTACACTGGTGTGCTTTTGAACTGCTGGGTTGGCAGCAGCTGGGACAGAGCAACGGGAGCTCACCCCATTGCGGGGCTTCGAACCGCTGACCTTCTGATCGGCAAGCCCAAGAGGCTCAGTGGTTTAGACCACAGCGCCACCCGCATCCTCAATAATAATAAAACCACCCATCTGACTAGGTTGCCCCAACCAGATCTTACACAGGCTAGCCTTACTATAGCCCATAATTTGGATATATGAATATTCCAAACACTAGCCAGCAACATAAAGGCTGCATTGCACCCTTTGTGTAGAAGCAGCCAAAAAGGAGATAAGCACTTTTGTACTGATCTGCTCCTTTCCCTGTGTTTCTTCAAGATCTGTTGCATACTGACTGATGGCCCTAGGAAGCATCTTGAATGGCTGAATGATTCAATTTCTACCGTGAATTGTAGGCTATGGGGGTAAATTTAGCCCTGGTGGTGATCCTACCTGACTTCATTTGATTTCCATCCATTTACATCACAGAACAATGCAGACCTCTCCATTCTGTTGCACAGTGTAAGGTTTATTTAGAAAAGTAGACATTTGACGTACAAGATGTCTGTCCAAATAAAATCTATTTGCACAGCCACTGGCTCAGAGGCGAGTCCTTTATGCAGGATGGTTCTGGACTGGCAACTAATTTAAAAGCCAGGTATTTCCAGTTGCAACATTTATCAGGAAGCTCAGTAGCCTGTCTCTTTGATGATTTGTTGTACTTATACAGCACAGCAAGCAAGAATTGAATGAAAAGCAAATTCTGCAGCCTTAGAAAGGTATATAGAAACAGCATACCGTACCTTACATTATTATCATCAACTATTTATGTTCAGCATGAAGGTAAATAGCATGATGTTATTGATTGCCAATATCTTAATATCAAAACCATTTTTTTTTGGTTAAAAGAAGTAAACAGCTCAAGTGATGTCTACTAAGCTTCGTGATGACCTTGTATTCTTGGTTTTCATTGTGATGAAACAAACAGCAGAACAAAAATATAACCTTCCTGCTGAGGAGGTGTTTTTTGTTGTTGTTAAATTGAATGAACTTTTTAAAAAAAACCACCTGTGGCAAAATAAATAATGTACAGGCTGCAAAAAAATCATTTCATGTAGCTCCATTTTTGGAGATTAAAAAGATTTCACAATAGTGATTGAGGCTCGTCAAAATTATTTTTGTGTGGACATATGTTCTTTTTGTTGTTGTTTACTATGCTGCATAAGTTTTGAAACTAAAAAAGAGGAAAACATAGTGATTGCATTTGGATCTTGACCATCTGAGATGAAAAAGCGAAAGTGGCCACTCTCTGGCTTATGCACATTCACTGGGTAGTCTTCTGTAGCAAGAGTGTGAAAAGGCCCCAAACAGGGTGCTGGGACTGTGTCTTGTGCAAGTTCTCCGAGAACACGTGTGTGGCGCAAGTGCATACGTGCAGAGCATAGTATTATACAGTTGGAAGGGACCACGAGAGCCATCTAGTCCAACCCCTGGCAGTCTTACCCAATGCAAGGCTCGGACCCATAACCCTGAGATTAAGAGTCTAATGCTCTACCAACTGAGCTATCCTCCCAGGAAATGTCCTTCAATTTAACATAGATCAAACAAAACCCTTTCTATTCCAAGTTAGCTCGACCTCTGCTTATTTCATCGCAACGAAAACAAAGAATAAAAGGAGTGATATGCATTTGTACCTGTCTGTTAGAGGAATCGACCTACCCTTCCTTACTTCACAATCTCCTGCACACTCACTAAATCTGCTTCTCAAGGTTGGAGGAGCCTCTAGAGCTGATTGGAGTAGCACATGACCGGTGTGTGTGTGTGTGTGTTTGCAGGGAGGAGGAAAGGAAGGGAAAATCTGTTTCTGCAACACTGGAAATCACCCATTGCCATTAGGGAAGCCTTAAAGGCATAATTTTGCTTTTTTGCTTTTCTGACACTAATTTGGACTATTCTTTCCTATCTGCATTCTCTTCTTAGAAAAGATGGTGCTGACTTAGGTGTTAAAGATATGTTTAATATGCATAAAATGTAAAGTCTGAATGCATTGTATTTGAGATGTTATAAAGAGAAGTGTACACTAGCGGGAAGTTTAACTATAGCAAATACAATACGGAAAGGTTGGATGTTTCTGGGGGAGGGCTTAGGCTAATTAATGACCTATTGCTGGAAACCCAAATGGTCTCCTTGTCAGCAGGAAGATGAAACCTGATAACACATCATCTCTGTGTCCTCAGAGTGAGCAGGCGGGGAAGAAATCCAGTTCAGCCTGCTGGGAGAAGCAGTTACCAGCACGTCAAAGGACAGACTAAGCTTCATGATGATCAGGCAAGACGCCTGCATAGGATCTCTCTCTGGGACCAGAGAGAGGAAAGTTACTGAACTGTTTTAATGGGTTAAAGAAGAGAGGACCACGTTGCTTTTGTATTTTGTAATGTTCATTTGTATCTGTTTTAAGACTGTTTCCAGTACAGCTTTGAAACTCATTCTTGTGGTGGAGATAAAATTCTTTCTATTCCATTACCAGGTTCAGATCAGGGATTCTGTTTGCAGCAATTCTAGTACAAGGCTCATCCTTCTAGGAAACCTATGTACAGTACATTACTCTTGTTGTATTGGAATCACCTCCTGTGCCAGTTCTGCAAGACCCAGGGAGTTCAAAGATGACTTATTTTGGACAAAGTTTATCCAATATTTGGTGCCCCTAGATTCCTCTCCCAATTCCATGTTATTTAGATTGCTTCCTGGCTCGCCTGGCCTTTGATCTAGCTCCAGATCCCATGATTCTGCTTATTCTTCTATTACTGAACAAAGAAAATGGTTTGAACAATTGCATATCACTCCTCTTGTAGATTCTAACATCACAGATACAGAACCACAGGCCTGGAAGGGAGCCCTAGGTATCATCCAACCCCCCCAATCCAATAACAATATTGCATTTTCTACAGATTTGTCAGGTAGGCTCATGAAACAGGTTGGTCAGTATAAAGTAGATCCCATTTTGGAGCCCCTTTTATGTACTTGCTCCCTAACTATATGTTCATTATTTTATTTTAAAACAATAAACTTAAATTAATACAAGACATACAATTTTCAATGAATATATTGTTAAGCAAAACAGCCACCCAGCACTTAATTCAGATTAAGTACTTTGTTTAATGGTTTGCTATGCTCCATTCTTTTCAGGGTATTTTTAAATTATAGTTCATTAATTATAAAGGCAAGATGATGATGTTGTTACACAGTGTATTTGTTCAGTTTCATCTCTTACCTGTTATTAATAGCAACTCTGCATGCTGACTAACAGAATGCATTGCTTAATAAGCCAGGGTTCCCACAGAGTCCATAGAAGACAGTTTTGTGTTTTGCAGAGATGCTGAACATCTGACTGTGTCAGATCTACTAGCTTCTGTGTAGCTCCGTTTGAAAGATTTGCTCTCAGAACCATTTTAAATATAAAAGTTACCAGCCCAAATGTGTTGTCTTTTTCAATGTGCAATGATTTTGATCTGCTAAGAGACTCCTCAAGCTGTACAAGAACATAAGAAGTGCTCTGCTGTATCAGACCAAACTCCAGCTGAGTGTTACTCAGTAAATTATTCTCTCACCAACACTTACCCAACTAAATGTCTCCAGAAGCAAACATGGGTTGCTTCCAAGTGCTCCTAATCATTGCTCTTCTACTGTAACTTATAACTGGAATTACAATTGACTCTCCACATTTCCAGCTTTGCCCTTTTCCTTTGTGTACACCACATGATGCTCCTTCCACACCACCTGTTTTGATTGGGATGCTTTGAAGCTCAGGGCACATATGGTTTTATTACTGTTTTTTTCAAAAAAATGATAATCTAATTACTGTTGAAATGCTTTTCCAGGTCAATCAATCAATCTATTGGAAAGGGGGGCATAGTGTCAGGGGCTGGACTGAGGAGGAATGGTGGGGGCTGCCCCCCTTCTCCTGAACTTTCCTGAGAACAGGAGGACAGTATAGATTTAGAACAGTGGTTTGCAGAAGGCCATAGTTCAGAGGCTGAAGAGGGGAGAAGCTAGGAAATATTGGGAGAGGAACAGCAGGAAGAAGCAGCACCAGGGGAGAGACAGCTAACAGACTCAGTGTTTCTTGAAAGCATTCCTGACCTCCCCTCTCCCAGGACCGGGCGAGCATTGAGAGTAGTAAAACAGAAAGCTGAGAGGCAGAAGCTCAGATCAGCCGATGCAGGGGTGACATGGAATAGGAGAGATGGAGTGGGACTTTTCTTGGAGCAACATCATTATCTAGGGGAGATTGCATTCCTTCGTCTCTCTGTGTGGATATTGAATAAATTACTTGGTAAGAACTTTTATTGTTTATCTGCTTCTTGGCTGCCACTGTGGGAGGGATCAGATTCCCTGAAGCCCGACACATTGCACTATAGCACCATAATACTGCAGTGTTGATTAAAGTGGTACAATAAAGATTTAAAAATTAACACTGCAGAATTAATATGTTGTAGCACTATTCCCTTCATTAAAGAAAACAAAACAAAAAAAAAATCTGGAAAGCATTTTAGTGCTAATTAAAAGATTGATTAAAGGAAATAAGGAGGTTCATAAAATGATGTGCACACACCACAAGACTATGCTGAGCTGTTGTAGGCTCACTGTCCCGATGAGTCAGTGCCAATGACAAACTTTTGCCCTTTTAAATAGACAGAGGAACTGCACTAAAGGCACCTATACTTCTAGAGTTTCCCCAATTCGTCCATACTTGGAAAAAAGTTTATGCAATGGATGAAAAGATGGAAGAACCATGGAGAAAATACAGGAAGAGAATGGTTAGATGATGGCATTAGGTGGATTCCTTGTAAAAAATGAATCAGGCATGACATTCAATACTCTCCTGGAAGTTGATAGTCATTGCAGGTTCAGCAGATTCCCTTAACTACAATCATAGGCTTACAGTAGTTGGGCTCCATGGGCATCCTCTAAACTAACCCTCAATCCTATAACAATATAGTGTTGTGCCTCCCCCTTGTTATGTGTAGACTCATGTTGCCAGCACAATGTCATAAATTGAGATTGGAATTAGGACTGCACCAAATATTCTCCCATTGCAATTCTCAGGCAGCAAATAGCTGTTCCAGGAGTAGAAATTTCCCCCAATACCTTTCGGTATCATTGTTTCACCTCTGCCGGCTGGTGTTTCGGACTCATTTTTTTATTTCTGCTTCCTGCTACTTTTTTCTTCCGGGATTTATACATATGTATGACATCGTGACCCTACATAGCCAGTCAGATGCTTTGTGATGACTTTAGTGAGGACAAACATGGTAAAATGAGGCTGAGGGCGTATGCTTTCTGGATCAATTTCAAATGGGGATCTTCACCAATTAGGGACAAAACAGTGAATCGGATGACATCACTAAACTATGTGGCCAATCAGATTTGTCTATATAACAGTGTTGTAGAGAGAGCAAGGGAGGGAAGGATAAAGGAAATGATTAACGTGTTTCATGGCCTTTTCTAAAAACAATTCATCAAAAGAGGGTGCAGTTTTTGAAAATATTTAAATTGTTCCTGAAAGACACTAGGTAGATTTAGCTCAGCTGCATTTTAGAATCAGATAGTATTCCTTGCATCTTGTCCTATGTGTTTATTTTCTAGTGTCTTCCTGCTGAGAAATGGGCCATGAATTTAAGTAAAAGCTATTTCAGTGGTATAAAATGAGCATGTATGCTGAATAACATTCACCCTGATAGATAATACAGGTAGATACATATTATAAATCCACCTACACATAAACATGAAATTTTAGGTTACTTAGAATGGATTTACCTAATGCAGGCACATCAGCTGAGCTTAATACATTTAACAACAGACAACTAGATATGTGCACTGATGACAGTGAAAAGTATTGTGTTTTCACAACTATTGCATATCCACTCCCATATAAATTCCATTGAATTCAGTGGAGCTAGCCTCCAGGAAATTAGGTAACCCCAGTTACTTCAGAGTATACCCCACAGGAGTACATACTTCTGAGCAAACATGGCTAGGATTGTGCTATAAGTTAATGTTTCAGTGAGCTTTCCATTATGAATCCAAGATCTGTTTTCTGATTAGTCACCACTAATAGCTCCCATTGGTGTATGTATGAAGTCACTTAACACTGACTTACACTGAGCCTCATATGCCATTTTGTTCCCCTATTGCCCAGCTTGGAGAAATCATTTTGGAGTTTTTCACACTCTGCTTGGATTTTCATTAGAGCTCTATAAATTAAGGGCCTCTAATCTGATTTGGAGCCGGATTTGGCAGTTGAGATCAATCCCAACCGGGGATGATCTGAACCTGGCCTTGCCTGATCTGATCCAGAAAAAAAAATATTGACTTGTCTTGGGAAACCGAAACAGCCATAACTTCCTTGTTTTTCCACAAAGGTGTGCGACATTTGAGACATGGTAGCGCCTGCCAAATTCCAGACAATTAACTCCAGGGGTTTTCATGCTAGCCACATTAAAAATAAAGAATTCTGTTTGTCACTATTGTATAGGCATCACTTTGATGATGTTCCGTGTCCTTGGGTGGAAAAATAAA